AATAGCATAAGCCAGTGAGTCAAACTCCTTGAACTTCTGGGTTCATTGGTGCAGTAATTCTACGGTGGAATAAAGCAGTGTGCCCTCTGCAGTTTTGCTAGGGCAGTTATGACCTGAGATTTTTTTTAACAAAGAAAACCCACGATGGTGCTCTGTACCAGCTCTCTGGAAAGCTCAAGAGATCAGGGCCAAATTAATTCCTGGCCCAGCTCCGGGTCACAGGCTGCTGTCTGAGGAGCCGTATATTTGAGAGTCCAAAGTAACTTTCTCCAAATGGTGATGTGTTACTGACATCACTGACACCAGGCTGAATTTTGCCACATCTGCTTCCACAGACTGAGGGTTCAAATAAAGAGCACTGAATGCCAAGGTAAATCACTCGCTTGTTCACGTGCAACTGGACCTGACTGTGACTATTTACTATTATCGCAGATTACCAGATTATTGGTGTTAACCAGGCTTGCAGATATGCAACTCTTTGTAACTGGTTGATTGTAGTAAAACCTTCCAGGAGTGCCTAAGTGAAGCAAGAGGAGCACAGGTACCCACTATAAGAAATCTTCTTATAATTTTTCTTATACCTCTCTGAACATTACACTTCACAAGCATACTTCACTTACTTATTACTAAAAACAAGAAAAGCAAACCACTCAAGCTGATTACATAAAAAAAACATTTGCCACTTGTTTCCCCCCAACATTTGGAGCCCATGTTCTACAGGACCCACATTTGCTATGATTTACAGGAAAATCCAGCTTGTCAGGCCTGCTAAAAGCAGCATGAACACTCAGGTGTTACTGTTTCATAGAAAGACTAATCTGTAAAAAAGCATCTATATTTAAATTTATGGCCCCTATATGTTTGAGAAACAGAGATGTGTAAACACACCAGTTTCCTGGGGAGGCTTTTATGCTGTTTGAGCACAGACACCAAGGCAAGACAAGGAGATAGATTCCAGTTTTGCACCTTCTTGCAGGTTGGCAGAGCAGGCAGGACTACATCAAAATCACAGACCGTTGCAGATCTTCATCATCTCTCCTTTACTCACCTCACTGCTGATATTTCCTTGGAACAAAAGAAATCATAAAGTTCTTTTTATCCCTCTATCCTTCCACATGTTCAAGTCACTGGAAGAGATCAAAACCTGCTCACGTCTGATGTTATCAGACCCAGGGAACTGTTTTCTGGCATTCCTCTTCAGGGGCTGGGAGCATCTGCTCTGCACTCAGAAGTTGTGCCCTTCCTTTCCCACTCCCAGCCTTGCTGGGATGCTCACACCCTTTCTGGGCACGGGCAATTGTCTTCTCCAGCTTTAGCTACAAAGGGCAGAACCCAGAGAAGCTTCAGGGATACACCTTGTATGTGTAACTCTATGCAGAGCTCTGGCTCCCCAGCCAGATAATTCTCATTACCCCTATTACCATTCACCTTGCACTATCTTTCCCAGGCACCCAGAGTACTACCCTGGAGCCCTTGTTCCCTGACTCGTTCATCATTAACGCCAATCTAGTTATTACCAACTTTTTCTGAGAGGGATCTGAAGAGCATGAAGAGGATGATCCCATAAACAATCACCATGGACTTGACATCTTAGGGTAAGAAGAGATTCCCTGATGCAATCGTAAGCAATCTGGTGGGAGCCAAGCCCATTCCAAAGTTACCATCCTTCACTGAGGCAGCCGCCCAGCTGTCACACTGTGCTGGGGGCTTGCTTTGCCACCTGGCCATTCAGTCACCCAGCCTGGGGGGAACTTGTGGTGCCCAGGTTGCCACAGCAGCACAGGAGAGCACACTCCCTGCCGGATCCACACCAAGGCTCGCAGTAGCTAGTGGAAGAAAAAACTCTCCTATTTCCATAGCACAGCCTATCTCCTCTCTAAAATGGCTTGTAAAGCGATTGCAGTGGAGCGCATGCAAGGCTGCAGCGCAGCACTGGAGAGAACAGCAACCTTTAAATACTCTAAAATCAAATCTTGTTTTACACAAAAACGCTATGGTAAAGTCGACATGAATGAAGCACCTTTGAGTGAAGGAACAGAAGGAAAGGCAGTGGACAGTTTTAGTGCCTCCTAGCAATTTTTTTTAATAAACTAGAGATGACAGACAGCCTTACCAACACATCTCTCATCTTCAAATATGACTTTCTTCAGAGAGAGCTCAGTGGAACTGAGTCAGCCTTTTTTCTTGGGCCTAGCTCTTGGCATTTTTCATACTAAAACAAAATATAATATGGAAATAATTCTGAACCGTAGGCATCTGACGGGATTTCAGTAACATTGGTCAGATTTTCTCTGCAACAATTTTAGGTAAACAAAAAATGAAAATATCACACAAAAGATCTAGAGTTGTTGGTGTGTTTTGATTTTTTTAAAAATATGCTTATGCATCAAGTCACTTTTTATAGAGTTATGCCTGGCTGTGGAGAAGGGCGAGCTTCCGCAGAAACTCCTGTGAGTGGGCAACAGAGCTTCACTTGCGCAGCAGCCAGTGCTCGCTACTTGGCCTCTGAAGGTTCCAGGCTGCAGCAGAGGTCCCCTTCCCCAGCCACCCAGAGCTGCTGCACCCTGTTTTCCTGAGTCAGCCAAGGACAAGCCAAGAGGAGACTGGGTCACCTCATCACAACAGTGAGCGCAAAGCAACAGTTTCACGCAGACAAGGCTTCTGAAGGATCAGCTTCAGCTGACCTCTTAACTAGTAGTTTCTGCCAGACAAAATTGAGCCCTGAAGTTATTTTTAGCCAGAACACTTCATGAATTGCAGTTAACTTGCAATATGCAAACTAGTGACTAGTGCTAGAGGAATCCCTATGGGTTTGTGGTTCCACTCTCTGCTCAAAAGTCCAATTATTCATTTTTCTTAGAGCTGCAATATTAATCTAAAAAAGTTGCACAAATGGCAAGAGATGTCATCCTCCCTCCATCCCCAAATCAGATAACCAAAATAAAGGAAGATAAGCATTTAGCCCAGGGCTTATTAGCTATACAAAGTGCAGCTATAAAACTTTGGAGGCTGACCCTCTCCAGCGACACTTTTGACAAGAAATTTGTCAGTGCTTCCACCTCTGACTCAAGCCCAAACAAGCCTGTGCAGAGATGGAATGGGAGAACTGCTAGACATAGAAAGGTTTGGGTGAGTTACTATTGTATTTTAATTTTATTCTATCCAAATCACTTGCCTATTTATCTGTATGAGAAAATGCAGTAAAACAAAAGAGGGGTTAAAGCAGCTGGAAGGGGTGACTGCTCTAAATACTTTGGAAGGGAATGAAAATCTTTAAATGGATTTAGGCAGGCTTTGAATCAGACCTTATCACAGAAGGTAGGACCAAGGCAGTTCAAAGCAGAAACTCCTCCGCACACTTCCACCCTTTTTTTTTTTTAAAAAAAAATTTTGTTCTACTCAGGCTTCTCCAGCTTTCCCCTGTGAATGGAACAGGGATAAAGCACAAAGATTGTGTCAACTACCACCTTTTTTGACATCTTCGTTCCCAAGAAATTTAGTATTTGCTGAACTGGTTAGTTATTCTTTTGGGACACTGGTTAGTTATTATTTTGTAAGTGGTTACCAGTGAAGATTCATGGCTCCTCCCCAAAAGTCTGTACTTTCATTACTTCATGTCTATCAACAAATAAGGCAAGTTTGTTACTTAATGTTTGTCCTTAATGGACCCTACCATCGTAAAATTCCCTGACAATCTGACACAATTAAACATTATTTGTTGTTTCCGCTCTTTTGAGCAGAAGAGCAAGCCAGGGCAATGCATTTAAACAAAAGCATGTAGGATTCACAATGAAATAGAGACTTCACCAGAGTGCACCTTTCCTTTTTGCCCACTGCAGGCTCCTCCTTCCTCTCTGAGGAACAAAGAACCAAGTAAAAATAAGAAACTGTCTGAATGGAGGATTATTTTCATTTATGTTGCAAGTTGCTATGCAAAAAAAAGCTTGGAAAAAAAAACAGTGAACCAACACCAAAGAGCACTTCATCATAATATTATTACCAATTTATTAAACAAAGATTGCATAGACTTGAGAAATGAGTGTGACACATCCCTGGGGGTTTTTTGGAGGTAGACCTCCACCTGTTTCATTCTCACATGCACTCTTGTTTCCAGAGACAGGGAAAAATGTTTGCACTTCAGTTCAATGCAACACAATTTTACATTGTTTGCAGTTTTCTTTAAGGCGAGGTAGAAGCATGCACAGCCAGCTGGAGATGTACGTTTTGGGGAGACAGGGCTACCATCTTCCAGGGAGACTGGTGGAAACACATGGCGCTTGTTAATTTATATCCTGGACAATGCTATAAATCGAAGCATTGCTGACAATTCCTGCCCAGTAAACATGCTCAATTTCATCTCCCGTAAAAAGGCAAGCAGGCACTAAATAGCAACACATTTTGATTTTCATTTAGCCACTTTAATGATAGGTGATGTTAGTGGAAAAAGATCATTTATCTTCAGATTTATTTTATATGAGATAAAAAGCCTTGCCAATTTTTTAAAATTCATTTACACAAGTGAATAAATCTTCCCAAACAATAAGTGGGAAAGTCATATTTCTTTAAGTTTGCTAAAATCTGAAAATGCTGATCTTGGAGTGAAATAGACAGCACTGGCATTTTAATCAAGATCATAAAGACTCCCGTTCTAAATAAGAAGCACAGCTATACTTCAGAAAAAAATATCTCCAATTTGGAGGAAAGCCTTTTTTAATGCATTTTGTCAAAAATCTCTGATAAATCAGGAGAGACACATGCAATCTTTATATCTCCTTCATTCTTAGAGCATTCCAATGTGAAGGCTACCTAAAAATAGACCGAACCTAACCTTTCAAATATCTATACTGCTGCATACCAGGAACGCAAGCTTTCAGTGCCTCTCATGGCTTTCAAGAGCCTTGTGCTGTGCCTGTCCTCCTCTAGCACATTATCTCATGTTGCATATTACACCCAAGCATGAGAAAAGCTGCAAGTTACAATGTGCAGTGTGTTGCAATTATGTGATTTGTGTCCCTTCAGAACACACAAGCAGCAAGATCGTCAAAACCAGCCTTCCCTATTGGCTGTTTGATTTTCTGCCACAACAAGGACACCAACAACACTGAACCTAGTAAGTGGGGACGTGAAAATGTAGCTCTGCCCCAGCAGCTCTGCTCAGAAAGCACAAGCTGTCTGGTTTGCAGCACACCACTCTTAAAAATATGAAGGGGCACAATAAGGTCTTTTGTCTTATTGTTTTCTACAGTGCTTGCAGACACACTTCTACCCATCTAAAGAAGAGACTTTCCAACAGTGCACTGAACTCTTGATGACTGATGTAGAATTACAGGACAGCAGAATACATGGTAACTATTTCTTTGCATTACACTTTCTAAATTGTGATTCTGCTTGGCCTTAACGGTATAGATCAGATTCATCCCAAGCACAATCCCAGCAACTTCAGGTCAGTGGTACCTGAAAAATCAATAGCATTTAAGTTATAACATGGGAGATTTTGGCCCAGGCTGTACAAATACTTACTTTTATTGTAGATATTCTTCACTTGGTATTATGCTTCATTGAATGTATTTTGATGTTCTCTAATGCTAAGTACTCTACTTAGCAGGTTCTGAAGCTCCACTAGGAGCTGGAATAGGCAAAATCTGTACTAAACCAGGTCGTGGGGCTGCCCTGGAGGCTCCGAGTGAGTCTGACTTTTGCTTACATGAAACAGAAAATCACCCTTGTACCAGTTGTTAGCTAGCTACTCCTAGCAGGAACAAGCTCATAAGGACTTGCTTTTCTTTGTTTACTGTCATGCTCTGCTCTGACAGAGTCAGAAGTTTGTCAAAGCATTTTACTCTGTCAAAAAATTAACAAAATAACTTATACTGATCAAATAATGGAACAAAGCAGCATCAGACTAAACAAATTCCTTCAAAGAATTTTGGATGGAAGATGTCTTACTGCTGACAGGGAGGCAAGAATAGCAAAGGTATAGGAATAAAAACTACTCAATAAAATATAGATTTCATTATCACCACCTATTCAACTTAATTTTCTTGGCATCCATATCCCTAATGCAGGTTTGTGATAGATCGTACAATCACTTTTTAATTAAGCCCTACTGTGCTTTGTATTAAGAACAAGGCAGTAGACATTATGGCACAATATATCTACCAAAATATTTAATGCTTATCCTTTTCATTTTGGTATTTAAAAGTTGTTCTCTTAGGAGGTGGTATCAGTATTTAACAACATTCTTGACAGTAAGTATAAAAACAAAAAGTTTCATACTTAATCTAGCCATGTCAAAACTGAAACCCCTTAAAATAATTGCTTTCTGAATATATAGTATTTCCACTGCATTATTTTATTATTACTCAGCTTGCAACATCTTAAGATGCAAAACTTGTTCTTTTCCTACATACTGATGAGATAGGAAGTGGCACGAGGATAGAAAACTGACATTTGACCAATACAGTTGAATGGTACACGAAACAGATGTTATCATGTCACAAAAGATATATTTAATGAGAAGCTGTAGAAGACTGGAAGCTTCCTGGGTTGGTAGTATTTTCTTTGGGGTTTAGCTCTCATTCGGTGTATTGCAGCTCTGCAGCCTGTGATGGGGCAGATCCTCTAAAAGAACAGTGCTCTTCTTCCAGTGGAGTACTGGCACTTTTCAGAGGGCAACATTTACTTTAATTACTAAAATGTACCCAATTTTTTCCAAGAAAGAAAAGGCTGTTGTTGCATATATAATATGGTTTCAGTTTTTAATGCCAGAAATGAATCAGTAAACATAGTTCCATTATGGTATACTATTTCTTATTCTGTACCCATAGTAACCAAATTAATTTCAAGGCGCTGCTGGCATTAATTCAATCTGAAGCTCACACTTTGGATTTCACATAGGTGCCTTCATCCTATTCTTCTTCTCAACTAATAAAATGTTAATATATGGCAATATATTTATTTCTGGTTCAGTTCAAGTTGAGGTGTGCAGTACTTTGCAGAAACCTAATTAATATCAATCATATATTACAACATTGTGTGGTTTAGTATACAAAAAAAAATGGTACTAGCACATGAGCATGAAACAGATGACCCAGGACTTCATTTCTAGCTGTAACTTCTCTGTTTCTAGGATAGGGAAGGCCAGTTTCTCCTTACCTTTCAATCTCCATTAAAAAAAAAATCCCTAACATACAGCAAAGAACTACAATAAATATATTACATAAGAAAAAAAAACAAACACAAGAATAAGGAGGTCTTGGAGGATGAGATACCGACAAAACCAGGACACTGCCCCTGTACCACCATGAGTTTGGTGTGCACTGGCAATAAGCTGCTCCCACAGTGACCCAGCAGTGCTGTCTTCAGCAGCACGCACTGATACAGGTTTTTCCACTGGGACCTACCAGCCTTCAGCCAAAAAATCCCATCCAGTTGATAGAAAAAAAGCATCTCCACATCCCAGGAACTGCACTTGAACTACTCAGGAGACATAAGCAGTTCAATAGCTGTGGTGTTGACTAGACCTACTCTAGACCACAGCAAAATGAAATACAGTTATTTTGTCAGAACTTAATTTGGGCAACCTGAGACCCCAGGCACACTACTATTATAAAGTCTCAATATCTGCTCTACTCCCCATAGTTAAAGAGGTTTTGCAGCAACAGTTCATATTTCTTGGAGCCTTTTTTACCCAGCTGCTCCCACTCCCATGTATTCCCAGAAGCTCTAGTGTCCCCAAGTATTTTGGTGCTTTCAAAATGCCCATCTAAGAGAAATTACTGCACTGAATGGTGCCCAGCTTGATCCAACCATGGCCAGAGCAACAGGGCCATATTCTGTCATCCTTATTCACTACATACAACAAGCAGTCCCATGAAAAGGGTGAGCTGGTGTGAAGAGTTAAGGCAAACCTTCTGGATGAGCAGAGGGAGTGTGGGTGAGCTGTGGCTCACCAGGTGAAGATCCTTGCTCTGAAAAGAATCACCATCATATGAGTGCATGGAAGCTCAGGCCTCAAGCCTTGCATGGGTCATAGACCTGTAGCAAAGCTTGGTTTTGGCTTTTGAACATCCCATCTTCTGGCAAAAGTCACAGAGATGTTTGAGCAAGCCCACAGCTTGGTTGCACTGGCAGCCCCATCCATGGACACAGAAGACTCAGCGGATCGCTCCATCAGGCACATCACTCAAGGCTGTAAGCCCAGGCCTTTGCAAATGGACCCATCTCAAACCAACCTGCACACCACAGGACTGCATTAAACACAGAGCCCCTCTGATCATTTCTGGTTCTTGCATCGGGAACTGAGCAGTAAAACTTTCAGGGGCCCTAGTGAGCCCCTGGGCACTCACACAGGGCTCTCTATGGCCTTGAGCCCTGCCTGCATACTGCATCCAAGGGCACAATATAGTCCTTCACTTTTACCAACTGCTATAGAATAAGAATTCCTAGAATGGCCCAAACCAGTTCAAATATGGGTACTTTCAGACTTCTTTTCTATTCCAAATTATGTGCTTTGCCAGCTTCAAAAAAACAGATGGAAAATACATCCCTAAATGTGCACCCTTGTGATCATTCCAAAAGGAAAGCAGCACCAAGTAGCTTAAAACGTTTGCTAGAAAAACTCTTTTCCATATCATGCAAATAGCAGACAAAAATAACTGCTAGGCAATTGATATACATACAAATATTGGTTATTTTAAACAGTAATTTGTTATTGAGGACATCTCACTGAAATATTATAATATTCAATTTCCTCTGCATTTGCATGGAAAAGGAGCTGGAGAGCGCATGATCATTCATTTAACTATTACGTAAATATGTCTATCTAAGATCACACGGCTTTCAAGCCAGAGTTCAAATACATGTTTAATGCATGAGAGTATGATGAAGAAACTTGTGAACTCACAGGTCTCATAGCCCAATCTCAATCAGATACGAGCTTGGTGTAAATATGTACAGTATCGTGTGCTTTCAATAGCACCATGTCTCCAGGCAGCAGCCTGACATCAGCAAAGGAGACAGGTGGTTCCCTTTCCAAGCCGGGAGGGGAGAATAAAAGGAGTTAAGACAGTGTGTAAATATAGCAATATTTTTTCCTCGGTGTTTTGCTACAGTTTTCAACCTTTAATGAATCTTCAGTGCATGAACAATTCTCATAACATCTTTGCTACAAATCAGTGAGTGGATGTTATGTCCTAAGATATTTATAACCTTAAAGGTAGTGGTAAGTGATACTGTTTGGCAGCCTTGGTTTAGAAGTGCTGAAGATACTTGCCTTTTGGTTTCATAAGAAAGGAGCTCCAAAAAGCCACAAAACCTCAGTTTCCTTGCTCTAAATGTATCCCTTTCATATAGCAGGTCACTGTTACTAATAATGCCTGTAAGAATGACAAACAACAGTCAGTCACCGGCACAGAGTACGTCACAACTGCTTTTAGATAGCTCAACTTTGTAAACTCTAACAGTGTGAGATATGCTAAACCCTGCACAATCCACAGTAGTTTGATTTTGAATCTCACATTACAAGAGTTCACACGTACACTAACCTGCATATAGAATAACCCAATTCGGCCTTTCTTTCTATCTGTACATAAATAGATACTTTTTTTTTTACACAGTGACAGCCACTGCCTCTTAAACCATTTTCTTTTGTTGCATTTCCTTAGAAACACAAATCTTGTTCCTTGGCAGCAGTTGCTGTAAGTGCTGTACCACATGCCCAAACTAGTTCTCAGTCACAGCTTTAATTCACAGTAAGTGGCACGAAAGGAGGTCAACACTTCTCAGAAACCACTTTCAGTTCTTTGCTGCTTCAGTATCTATTCTATAAAGCCATCCGCCCTAACAGAAAGAAAGTTGTTTCTTATATTGTGTCCCTTGCTTTTTTATTATTGTCATCTTTATGGAATGGGCTGCAGAATGTATCTGATGGAATAAAAGAAGATTATTCCTGGAACCACATTCCTGGTCTCCCTTTTGCAAGATCCTAAAAATATAAGCAAAAAGAAAATAAAAATTAATACTTTCTGCAACAAAACCAAAACGCTCCTTTCTTTTTCAGTGCAAAAAGACTTTATATAAATGGCATCTTGCAACTCAGTGTCAATCACTGTGTCTTACTTTCAGTTCAATTTACTTGCTTACAGAATGATTGGTTTTTTTTATCAACCCGACCAAGACATCATGGAGCTTGAAAATCAAACAGCCTTCTTTTTGCCATGATGCATCACTGGCAAGAGGAATGTCCTTGCTGACAATATTTTGCTGTCACATTTGCCTCTACAGCTTCACTGCCTTCTCTGTGATCAATGAAAACAGATTTTGACCTCATCTATTTCATTTCAGA